TTGCAACACAAACAATGGTGTTGGGCGATAGCACAAAACTCTAAAACATAAATATCTTTCAAATTACCGGTATAGTTCTCTCACTAGGATGTTAATTGTTGTAATTGAGGATTTTCTTTGTAATAAGTATGAGAGGTATGTTAACATTATAATAATATTTTTTTTGTATAATTTTCTAAATATTCCATAACAAAAGTATTTTTTTATAGCTATAATGAAAGCAATCAGTTAATGAGTTCTAAATACATACGTTATGCTGATAATATTGATTGTTGGATGATAGATCACCCTCAACCTATTGTGAAACATTGTCTTGTTAAGAAATCACTTGCTGAGAGTATTGACATTACAAGAATTCACGTTGAGGGGTGTGGAAAATTTTCTTTGCGATATTACAAAGACAACACAGAGCGAAATTATGTAATAGATTTTGGTGATAAAAGCAAAATGTGAAGCAGTATTGAATTGATTGGAAAAGGTCATGTTATCCATAGAAGCATTTTTTTGTTGTTTTTAAAAAATATTCGTGTTGGAACTGGGAGTCAAACTCTCTTTTATATAGAATGTCTCCATATCTAAATCTAGATATTAATTTTGAATTTGATAAAGCAAAGACCAAAGGACCTAATGATAAACTAAATACAACTACTTATGCGAGTGACATTTCCAATAATGAGCATAAAGAATCCCGTACTGACATGAAAATGGTGAAATGTTAGTGATAGCAGAAGCTCAAAAAGAAAGAAATAAAGGAAAGAAATCAATTACTAGCAAATCAATAAAGAACCTTTTGAGTGAATTACAAAGTCTCAGTTTTCTAATTGAACATGACAATAGTTTGCTTGAAAAAACATATAGGGAGTTGAGTAGCATCATTGAAAATGTAAAAAATGCTGTACCTAAAGAAAGTTGCCTGCCACTTCTGCCGAATAATGACAAAACATCACATTTGCAGAAAAGTAACATTTAAACCAGAAAAAAAATGTAGATACTGAAGCAATAAATGATAATTTATTAGACTATGAAAACTTATAAGAGTGTAAAAACAGCCCCATTGTTTGCAGTGATGATGAATATACAGGTTCTGATAAAAATACAAAAACAGATAAAAAAAACAGTAAAATAAGTCTCTGTCAAAATGACTTGTCAGACATATCAAACAAATGATGGCTATCTGATAATGTTATAAATACGTTTCAAAACATGATGAAAATCCAATTTAAAGATATCAATGGTCAGCAAGACACTATTCTTAGACAAAATCTTGCTTTCAATACTAACAATAATAAACGATTTGTTCAGGTTTTGCACGATGGTCATAGTCACTGGGCTGCCGTTTTAACATATAGATGTAAACCTGTTGAGATTTTCTTGATGGACAGTCAATTTCATGGTAAAGTTGCGCGTCATACAAAGCAACAGATATGTCCCATCATGAAATGCACGCATTTTTTTAAGTTAATTAAGGTGCCCCAAGAAGTCCCTACGGTCTTATCACAGAGCACCGCGAAAGAGCATTTAATAAGAAGTTCACGCCTTCTTCCCAACCAATGTCGCAAAACTTGCCCAGAGGTGAGGTTTAAACCACGGATCTTACGCTTCTGAGGCAAGTGCGCTAACAAGCTACGCATAACAAATTAACTATTTGTGTATTACTGGTTCAACAGCAGTCAAATTGGGCAGATTGTGGTCTCTTTGCTATTTCTTTTATTTATCATATTATTAGCACAAAAAGAAACTCTGAAAATATAACATTCTCTGTACCAGATATGAGGGCACACATGTTGCAATGCATTCAGGTTAATAAAGTTTCTTCTTTCCCTCAATTGTTAGCAGATGCATTCAAAAAGATATCTGCATAGATGCATGCATGCAAAAGATGCATTCAAAAAGATATCTGCATAGAACGCTTTTGCAGTTGTAGAATGCCATGGAGTTCTGCGGAAAATTGACTGAAAGATAAACAAATGTCGCAGTGTAATCGCTGTCAACAGTGGTTTCACAGAATGTGTAAAAACATTCCAGATGTTGTTTTTTCTAAAAAGAACCGTAGAACACCGTGGTAGTGTTATTGCTGTGGACAAGCGATTTGATAAATACTTAATTTAGTATTGTAGGAAATATCTTTACAATGATAAATTAAAGAATTATAACATTTTTAAATATGTTTTTACATGTCAGACTAATATAAAGTGGGTATTTTTTCTTTTAATAATATTCCTTCCTGCGTTTTGACTGAAAATTTGAGATGTTTTTGTTTATTATGTTTCAGAAAAAATAGGGTTTTGTAACGTTTAATTTATAAGTAATTGTTTCACAAGATGTTTTAATTTCAGTTGACTAGTATTTCTAAGTAGTGGTAATTTATTAAATATTTACAAGCACAAAATATGCTTCACTTTAATAACCTTGTATATAATCAGCTTTAAGTTTTTCATTTTTTGAATATTAGTTTATGTTAAAGGATTTTTTTTTTTAGATGACTTAAATAGTGCATGGAAATTAGTAATGTGAAGCTATTAACAACGCTTTAAAAATTTTATAAGCCAACTCTATGCTGTATTATCGTGGTGGTATGGTTATTTTGGTGGTCGTTGTTTACTTGTGGTATGGTTATTTTGGTGTACTATTAGCCTAAACCTTTATATAAACTTATAAAGATTGAAAGATTTTTATTGTTTTTATTGTTTGATATTTATATATATATATTTTAAAATTTTTTAGTTCTGCCATTCTACTAACTTGTTAAAGTTTTCCCACTGTGGAAATATGATTTTAATTTAGTAAATTTTGATAATTTCAAATTTACTTTATAAATCATAAGCCAACAGTTTAGGAAAAGACTTGACTCAACGCGAGGTAATACTTTTTTTTTTGGTAACATTAAGAAACTTGTTTATGCTATTCGTCACGTTACAGCTAATTATACTAGGCCAGCTAAATAAAAACGAGCAATTGCTTTTTTTACTCGGTAGTTGGTCAGCTTTATGTGAATTAAAACTTTAGAACTTTTCCTCATATTTTTATTCACGTAAAATTAAGCAATTTACTCAGTAATTGCTCAGCTTTACGTGAATAAAAGCTTCAGCAAAATTGTCGAAGTTTTTATTGACATATAGCTGACCAATTACTGAGTAAAAGCAAGTGATTGTTACTATTCACCTGGTCTAATGAAAACAATAATTTTTGTTACAATATTGTTAATAATTATAAGTAATTTGGTTTTTATAGCGGTTTTTTTTGGTTTTTAAACCAAATCATTTACTCTAAAACCAAATCACTTACTTATAGTAAGTGATTTGGTTTTATTTTTTTTTTAACAAAGTTTAAAATAAATTTTCTCGTTTATCAATAGTACAATCAAATCTATAGCGTGAGTTAAATTTCTGACATATTCGATTTTGCTAATGAAAGAAATTTTATGTATTGCAATATAAAGTAGGTATCTAAAGTACAAATCATGTAATAGATGTCAAAAGTACATCCATTTAAACACAGCTATTAAAAGAGCAAACTATGCAATAAATGTACAACCATCAAAAGTACAAGTCAAGTAATAAAAGTCAAAAGCACAGCTATTAAAAATACAAATAATATAATAGAAGTCAAAAGTAAAGCTATTAAATATTCAAATCATATAATAGAAGCCTAAAGTACATCCAACAAAAATACAAATTATGTAATAGAAGTCAAAAGTACAGTTATTAAAAATACAAATCAAAATAGAAGTCAAAAGTACAGCTATTAAATATTCAAACCATATAATAGAAGCCAAAAGTACAGCCGTCAAGTTACATATTATGTAATAGAAGCCAAATTTGCAGCCATCCAAAATACAAATCGAGTAAGAGAAGTCAAAAGTACAGCTATTAAATATTCAAATCATATATTAGAAGCCTAAAGTACACCCATCAAAAATACAAATCATGTAATAGTAGTCAAAAGTACAGTTATTAAAAATACAAATCAAAATAGAAGTCAAAAATACAGCTATATATTTTCAAACCATACAATAAAAGCCAAAAGTACAGCCGTCAAAGTACATATTAAGCCAAAATTGCAGCCATCCAAAATACAAATCGAGTAAAAGAAGTCAAAAGTAAAGCTATTGAAAATACAAATCAAAATAGAAGTCAAAAGTACATCTATTACAAATAAAAATCATATAATAGCAGCCAAAAGAACAGCCATCAAAAGTACAAACCATGTAATAGTTACAAGTACAGCTATTAAAAATAAATATAATCAAGTCAAAAGTACAGCTATAAAAACATAAATAATATAATAGAAGCCAAAAGTACAGCCGTCAAAAGTACAAATCATGAAATAGAAGCCAAAAGTACTGCTATTAAAAATACAAATCATAATAGAAGTCAAAAGTACAGCTATTTAAGTATAGATACCAAAAGAGTAAATCATACAATAGAAGTCAAAAATACAACGAAAATTGTTTATCTGATAACTGTTATATCTCAATTGAATGAAATAACTTGTTGCTATTTTTTATATTGCGGTATCTAACATATGAAAATAACAAATCGTGCAATAAAAGTAAAAAGTACAGCTCAATTGCATCTTTTCCATATGACTAGTCACTGTTTTATATAACATACAAATATCGCTATATTATAACGATATCTAACAAATATCAACAATAAAAATAATGTGAGATTGCAAGACAAGTTATATCCCTGTGATCTATTTTATATTGCTAAGGGATCGTCCATAAATTACGCAACGCAAAAAATATTTTAGCAACGGGAGTAGGAGATATGAGGTTCTTTTACGCGGCAATTTTCATTTCTATTTTGATTTTTTATTTAAATTAAGACTCTGCGAGGGAAATCTTTTAATATTTTTTGTGAAAATTTGCGTTACGTAATTTATGGACGATCCCTAATCATAAATTCTACCTTAAGAAAAAACTCAGTTTTAAAAGTCAAAAGTACCAAAACTATAATTACGGCAACCGTTTATAATTTGAAAACGAGGCGCACTTTTGACTTCTATTATATATTGCTTACCTTTTAAGGCTGTCCTTGAAAAAAATGTTTTGATCAATACAACTGTAACATATTGCTTTTTCTCAGGAGAAAGCCGCACCCACATGATGAAGAAAATATAGAAATACAACAGTAAAACATAACCATTGCCTCAAATATTCTTTAAAGGCAAATAAAAAAAGAAAAGGTATATACTAAATTATATGTTTTATGAATGATACGGATGTAATTTTATTGTTAATATTGTTTAGCTTATTATTGTTTAGTCAAGCATATCAAAATTGTCTCATATAATATATTTTATATAATCATTAACTAATACATAAATTTATAAAATAAAAAAAGACATAAATTTAAAATTATTATATTTGACTAATAATTATTAATAGTCAAATAAAAACATTTGTATTTGACTCGAACAGCTTTAAATTTGTAATTAAAAGCTTGTTATCCTTTTTTTGGCGTTATTCCATCTTGATATCCCTTAAATTTAAATCTGAAAATTAAAGTAATTGTATTTTGACTTAAGAGTTTAACTCTATTAATGAGTTTTGATTTTATTAAAACTCATGAATAGAGTTAAACTGTTACCTACTTTTATTCTAATCACCTAACACAGCTACATCTGCTAACACAGATTTTGGAAAATTTTACTAACTACTTGCATAAGAACTATTACCTATTCTCTCATCCAGATAACATGATAAATTCCATAGTTATCAAAAAGTGACATAAGCATGCCTTTAAACTCTATCATCTTCATTGGTTTGTTTAATGATTTTAAATTTATTATTATTTCTCTCTCTCTCTCTCTCTCTATATATATATATATATATATATATATACATATATATATATATATATATATATATATATATATATATATATATATATATATATATATATATATATATATATATATATATATATATATATATATATATATATATATATATATATATATATATATATATATATATATATATATATATATATATATATATATATATATATATATATATATATATATATATATATATATATATATATATATATATATATATATATATATATATATATATATATATATATATATATATACATATATATATATATATATATATATATATATATATATATATATATATATATATATATATAAATATATATATATATATATATATATATATATATATATATATATATATATATATATATATATATATATATATATATATATGCCTTTAAACTCTATCATTTTTATTGGTTTGTTTAATGATTTTAAATTTATTATTATTTCTCTCTCTCTCTCTCTCTCTCTCTCTCTCTCTCTCTATATATATATATATATATATATATATATATATATATATATATATATATAGGCTTTCACAGGAAGTTGTGCGATTTCACATCTTTTTATGACCACGCAAGTTGCTATGACAGTTTGACCGCGGCTAATTTAAAAAACATTTTAGAAACGCGCTAAATAAAAAATATTCTAAAAAAGTGAAATTAATTTCATCAAAACTTCTTAACAAATATTTTTATATTAGTGAAACGATTTTAAATAAAATAACAATTTGCTGAAAAAAAGTTTTGTTTTTTAAATATAATTGACAGTTGTATATATTTTTTTAATTTAAAACATATAAATTGTTTAAGTGTTCATTTCTAAAATAAATCTTATTAAAAAATAAAAAATTGTTATGTTTTTATAAACAATGACATTCTTCAACTACGAAAGTCTCTTTAACGAATATAAATATAAGAATGATTAAAGTTAATGCATTTAAAAAGATAAACAAAATTTCGTTAAAAAAAAAATTTTAGAAAACTGTAACAATTTAATAAGTTTGATCCTAAATGCTTTTATATTATTGAAACGCTTTTAATGAAGTAAAAAAAAAAAACACTTATAATTAATTTAAAAAAAAGTATTTATAAAAATTTTTTTTATTTTGTTTATATAACTATGTATTTTTTATGAGAAATATTTAAATTTTGAACATATTAAATAAATAAAAAATATATTAAAATCTTGAATCAAAGATTGAAAAGGTTTTTTAATGCGTAAATAAAATAGACTAAGCATTTTAGTTTGATGGAGTTTTGTTTTAGTTGCGTTATGTATATATATATTTCTTTTTTTGTATTTTTGCTTTAACTAAGTATTTTTTTTCGTTAAGATTTGTTTATTTAAAAAAAAAAATTGTTTCAGATAAGTTTAGGTAAGTTTTTGTAGTGCGTTTTTAAATTTTAAAAATATGCCGTGGTCAAATCGTCAAAACATTTTTTTTTTGCGTGGTCATATAAAGACATGAAATCGCACATCTTCCTGTGAAAGCTTATATATATATATATATATATATATATATATATATATATATATATATATATATATATATATATATATATATATATATATATATATATATATATATATATATATATATATATATATATATATATATATATATATATATCCGTAACAAGGTAATCAGGCCTTGCGATAAAGCGTCAGGCGATGTGAATTTTACGTCGTCTAAGAGCGATTTTGCGTATAGCTAGGGCTATTTGCGTCAAGCAAAAAATTTTTTGTTTGAGTATATTTAAAGATATGTTTGAGCGGAATTTTAATAAAGTAATTTATGATTATTTTAACATTTAATAAAATTTTAAAAACCGCACGCAGTTGAAATAAAAAGTTTAAATTAAAAAAAATTAAATATTCTCATTATTTACAAGTAGAAAAAATTCAGATTAAAAAAAAAGTTTAAATCTTTTAAGCTAACATTTTAATAAAATTATTTAGCAATAGCAAAGTTGTCGATAAAATTGAACAAAAATACTTTCTTTTAGTTTTAGATTTTAAACTTAAATAATTATTTTACAAGGGTTTGTTAGGTTTTAAAATTATTCCATAGATTTAAAAATATTTAATAACTGTTAGACGTATTTAAAGTATTTAAGAGTAATTTTGAGCAAACATTTTAAAAATTGGTGAGCGCAAATAAAAATCAAAAAAGGATTAATATTAAAACGTATTCTACTTGATTCAATAAAGAAGTGCAGTTATTAAAATTTTTGTTAAAAGTAAAAAAATTACTTAAATAATAACAATTGCTTTTTTGTTAAAGTTTACTGAAACTCAACGAAGCGTTCAAGAACAGCTGCTGAAAAATAGAACGTCAATAGTTTTTCGAATAATTTTTAATAATAATTATTAAAAATAATTTTTTCGCTTAAATATTAATATATAAATAAAAAAATATTATATACAATCACTAGTAAAAATATTAGCTATTGCACAGTTTTTAATTGTACAGTATTAAAATTTCTAGTTTATTACTCTCTGACTTTTTTAAAAAGAAAAAATAATTGAAAACTTGAAAAACTTATGTTTTTTTTATTCGTTTAGTATAGACAAAACGTGTCAAATGTCGAGAAAATAAAAAAAATTTTTTACATTTCAAAAAAGGAAACATTCCAAAACATTTTTAAATAATAACATTTCTACATTAATGATTTAAAGTAGTTTTGAGGGAATTAAGTAAATTGGTGCAGTTAATGTCGATAAATATGAAAAGCAAATAAAAAGTAATTAAAAATGAAAAGCAAATAAAAAGTAAATAAAAAGTAAAAGACGTCAAAAATCACGTCGTGCTTATGCGTCGCGCAGTTCTTATTCATCGCGAGGCCTGATATATATATATATATATATATATTATATATATATATATATATATATATATATATATACTCACCTAACGTCAAGTCATACTCACCTAACGTCAAATAGCCTGCTGCTGGGGGCTTCAGTACATACATCGACTGACAAATAGCCTGACTCGCAGTGGAGTGTGAGTCAGGCTATTTGTAGAAAGTAAAAAATGATTCTTTTGACAACAAATTACTTTTGACATTCATTCAACATGTCGATGTTGTCATAAAGTTAAAACCATCAATTTAATCACTTTTTAAAAAAATCGCAAAACCGCAAATTTATTTGGCCAGAATGTTTTTACAAGCATTCAGAAAGTTTTTAAAATTATTCTGAATATTTTAACAAACATTCTAAATGTTTTTAAAAACATTCTGAATGTTTTTAAAAACATTCTGAATGTTTTTAAAAACATTCTGAATGTTTTTAAAAACATTCTGAATGTATTTAAAAACATTCTGATTGTTTTTAAAAACATTCTGAATGTTTTTTAAATATATAAACAATGTTTTTATTTTTATTTTTTTAATAAAATGTTTTTTTTCACTCTAAACCATGCGCAAGTGTTGCTACATCGACTATTTTATAGCCTGACTCACAATAGAGTGCTGCTTCATCGATTGACAAAATAGCCTGATATGCAAAGGAGTGCTGCTACATCCATTGAGAGTTTGGTTTTGGGCAGGCAGTCTATCAAATAATTAAAAAAAAAAAGTTTATTCCACTATAAATTGGAGAGAATTGATGTTTTTGAACCTCTAATGCTTCACGAACCTGTGTATATTCTATTTTGTTATTATATTCCAATTTTAGCGCAGAAGACTTTGTTTTTGCAATTATATCCATATACGGAATTGACTTAAACGAAGATACAAAGTTTGGACCAATTTTTAGATGTTTGATTTGATTTTCAGGAATCTCAGTATTGCAAAAATTTAACACTGTGTTCTTTGTATAATTTATTGTATTTATATTTCTTTTGTTGTTATCCTGGAGAATTTTAAACTTTTTAACTAATCTATCTTTTGATTTTACAATCATAATATTGCAAGCTTTTTTAGTTATTTGTTTTACTTTAGTCATCATCATTGATTATACTTAAGTTTTTGATTTTAGTAACCCTTTTTAGAATCATTTTTATAATAATTAAATAATTTTTTCAACAAAAATACCCTCATACAAGATGTTAACATTCGAATCATATATATATATATATATATATATATATATATATATATATATATATATATATATATATATATATATATATATATATATATATATATATATATATATATATATATATATATACCCCAAAAAAAACGGTGTTTTTTTTGGGGTTACAAAACAGACTGGTTCTAAAAACATGTTTTTTATAGTTTTTTTTGCTTTTTTTTAGTATTCATTAAATTTTAGATAATAATAATACTTGAAACAGTTCCAGTGCCCTTAAACCTACAAAATACAATTGTTTTCTATTTAATAAAATGCATATTAACTTATATAATAGCTGTTACAAACTAATCACCATTATTAAAAAAAAACAGTATTAAATATTTAAAAAAGTAATTTTTTAAATAAATCTCAAAAAAACTATACTATTAGCTACTAGTTGATTTTAAGTATAATACTACTGAATGAAGGAAATAAAAATGTTATTTTAGCAGTGTTATTTCATTCATAAAAATGAATGAAATAACACTGCATTGCATAATACAAAAATGAACCAACTGTTAAATAAAATTTACTTTAATGTTTTATTTACTTTTGTATATTACTTTTTTAAATTTTTAATATTTAATTTCTTTATTTTATTTTAAATTGCAATTAGATAGCTAAAATTTTATTTATTCAAACAATATTCAAGTAAATAAAAATAACACAATGATTAACTTTGTCTAATGAAAAAACATTTATATTAAACAATTTGTAATCTAATAAATATTTTTCATTAAAAAAAAAAAAGAAATCTAAAAAAAAATATGCCAGGCAGAAAGAAATGTTTTGTAGCTACATTGTTCAATGAGGCACCTTTAGAATCTGGAGGTTCTAAAATTCAACAAGTTATATGCAAATTTTGCAGCTTAAAGCTATCATAAAATGGCACTTGAATGACTGAGCACATTGCAAAATGTATGAAATGTGGCGATCAAATAAAAAACAAATATTTGAACGATATGCCTTTTAAACAGAAGAAAGTTCAAACTGAACTAATGATGGAAGAAGATATTCCTGAAAACTTACCTATTCAAGATATGAAAAAAGAGAAAAAAAAATGTTTATCATCTGCTATTCCACAAGTTCCAATTGAGTCTTTCTTTCCAACACCAAGCAGTTTTGGAAACCAAAGTAGGTCTACAACCCCTAAGTTTGGAGACTGTAGGGCAAATAAAACCAAATCAGATAAGCCTCCCTTAAAACAATTGTATTCTTCAACAAGAGTTTTATTCACAACTCAGAAAAAAAAAATTGCATCCTACATTTTCTCGGACAAAATGACTAATGAACAAGTAGTAAGTATTATATTTAGATATTATGAATATTTAATACTTTTAAATATTTAGCAAACTTTATTCAGTATATAAGTAATATAACAATTTTTGTAAATTTCATATTATTCCAGGATGAATCGCAAATGGATTTAGCACGCGCTGTCTATGGTACTGGATGCTCATTGAGAGTTTTTGAAAATAAATTAGATAGACAGTTTTGCAAAATTGAGACCTGCATTTAAATTACCTAACCGTGATATGTTGTCTAATTCCCTACTTGAAAGGGTATATAATGAAACCTCAACTACCGTTAAGGAACTTGAGGGAAATGCTTTAAGTGTAGCAATTTTGTGTGATGGATGGAGCAATATCAGGCAAGGAAAATATAATTTAAAATAATAGGACTATTTATCTAGTGATTTGTGCACTAGTATAGGAGTAAAACGTTTTAAACGTTATATAACAAAATTATGTAACAATGTAAGCTACACATATATAGTGTAGGTGCATTCTAACTTCATGTGTATAATTCATAATTAATAAAAATCAATAATAAAGATAGTTTTTACTATTTACAGGAATGAAGGAATCGTTAATGTTGTTGTAACGGTACCTCAACCTATATTTTGGACCAGCATAGAAACAGGTAGTCTTTTTAGATTAATTTTAGTTATCATGTTTTATTTTATATTCTCCAAAGTAGTAAAGTTTTTCAAAATATTTAAATTTTTATAGTTTATTATACTTATTAAACACCGTTTAACTCTTTATTGAGGTGCAGAACGTCATACTGGCGAATATATGGCAAATATAGTTAAAAAAATAATATTAGATGTTGGACCTATGAAAGTTCTTGGTGTTTGTACTGACAATGCAGCCAATATGAAAAAAGCGTGGCAACTAATAATTACTGAATTTCCTCACATATATCCTTATGGATGCCTGGCACATACCTTAAATTTAATTTTTACTGATGCAAGTAACTTGAAATCAATAGCAACTTCCCAAAGAAATTGCACAATGGTGGTAAAAGAGATAAAGAACTCTCAAATTTTATCAGCTTTGTTAAAACAACATCAGCAGAAATCTGGACAAATCATTCAACAATCACTAAAACTTCCAGTTACAACTAGGTTTGTTAAAAATTAATTTTATAATAAAATTAAAAATTGTCATACAAATTATTTATATTACATAAATCAAAATGAATTTTAATACTTAATATGGAAAAAACATTAGGCAGATAAATATTTAATTATAAATAAGTATATTCTTCAGATGGGCTTCAATTATACATTGAATGGAAAGTCTTCATAACAACAGATTAGCACTGCGGGGATTAGCTATAGACGATGAAGCAAAATCCTTTGCTAAGCCTATTCAAAACCTATTGTTGTCCGAAGTCTTCTGGGATAAAGTGGATGGGTTTATCAAGTTATTAAAACCAATAGCCATAGCCATTGCAGCAGTTGAAGGAGATAAATTAAGTCTCTCCATTGTTGCAAAAACCTTTTCAGATTTAGAAAAATCTTTTCAGGACAATATTCTTTGCAGTCCAATTCTAATAAGTGAGGAAAATGCCGATGGAAATAATTGTCAAAAGAAGGAAATTTCACATTTGAAACATTCATCTTGCTGCAAATTTAGTGGATCCACATTATAAAGGATGTCATATCGCTGGAGATGAAATGGTGAGTTTTTTCAAAATTTAATCCTCATTTGAATTAATTGGATAAAAAAATTTTTTATTTAAAATGAATTAAGATGCCATATTTAAAACATCTGTTTTAGATTGATGCCATTGAAACGCTACATAAATTAGGAAAAATGGATCCTTCTATTAAAGAATGTGATGACAAAATTTTGGGTAAGATAGCTGATTATAGATCAAACGAAGGACTTTTTGCAAAACCTTTTATATGGGCTTCAGTAAAACATTCATCTCCTGTAAGTTGGTGGAAGGGAATATGTTGTTCTTGTGCTCCAATACTATCAAATATCACAAGTAAAATTTTATTGCTTCCACCAACAAGTGCTGCAGTCGAAAGATCATTTAGTAGACAATCTTGGATCCACAATCAAAAACGGAATAGATTAACAAATGACAGAGCTTCAAAATTAGTATTTATATCACATAATTTACAACTTGAAAATCAAAAATGTAATACAAAATCTTCAACAAGTCTAAGTCAAAGCCAAAATAATATTCTGGACAATGGCACTTCACAGAGTTTAGAGTCAGAGTTATCAAGCGACTCTGAAGAATACAGATTTGACTTTACAATAGAAGACCTTAATGAACAAGAAAGCCAGAATACAGAATCTGTTATTAATTAAAAATAAATCTTTTAAATGATGTACTATATATTTACCATATATCATGTTATTAATATATATTATATTACATTTATAATAAAAATAAAAATTAAATAAAAGTAAATAATTTTTTTTGAATCTAAAAAACAAAAAAAACCATAAAAAACACAAAAAAAACAAAAAAAAACATGTTTTTTGTGCAAAAAAAAAACACAATTAAAAAAAACGTTTTTTTTTGCAACTCTCTCTCTCTCTCTCTCTCTCTCTCTCTCTATATATATATATATATATATATATATATATATATATATATATATATATATATATATATATATATATATATATATATATATATATATATATATATATATATATATATATATATATATATATATATATATATATATATATATATATATATATTTATATTTATATATATATATATATATATATATATATATATATATATATATATATATATATATATATATATATATATATATATATATATATATATATATATATATATATATATATATATATATATATATATATATATATATATATATATAATACTAATACTTAACTGATTTTAATTTAGGATACAGTGTACTATATGTTTATATAATGAAACAGTTATTAATAATAATAACATTATATAAATATAAATTGTGAAAATATTTAAAATATTATGCACAATTTTATGTTAGTATTTTGTGGAAATGGATAATGAAGAACATAAAGATATATTGCTAAAGATTGCAAATAATCTGCTGGAAAAAGATGTTAAAGCAATAAAGTTTTATTATGCATCAAAAATTGGCTATGCTCATCTTGAAAAGATCAAAACTTCTATTGAATTAATTCAAACTTTAGAACATCGTATGGTTCTTGGGGTTGATCACTATGATGCTTTTGTTGAAGTACTTAACAAAATTGGAAGGAATGACCTGGCAAAACATTTTTCTCGTGAGTTTTATTATTATATCCTATGCACAAAATCACATGTAATTTATATATAATAGATTTAGCCACTTTATATGTCCTACCATAACTGCTAGTATGTGTGTGTGTGGATACATATACTGCTCTTGGAATTAGGAACGTCTAAGGTCAACAATAAATTGCCTACTTTAAACTCTTAGAGTTCAGCATCAGGTCGACAAAAAAAATTTGATACAAAGGGGTTACTATGTAACATAGAAATGAGGCTAATTATTTATTGCAGAACAATAAATCGTCAATGGTTTAAACTTGATGATAAAAACTATTGTTAGATAAAATTTTTCATTAAAAAATTTAAAATCAAAATCTACAAATACGGTAAATTAAAGTCATAAAAAGGTTGATTATAGATAAAAAGATAAAATGTGTAATCAAAAACTGAAATGAAAATATTCTCTATAATTTGCTTCAATTTGCTGATTATGAAAAAATTGTAACTACTAATTAAAGGTCTTTATACAGCAACTGTAAGTTTAGGTAACATGTAAACATCAGATGTAGTACCTCATTGTGTCAATGTACTCTGTGTCTTATTGCCATATTTCAAAGCCACAGAAGTATTGACTTCTAGTAATATCTAATGGCAACAATGGTAACATGTAACCCAGAACAACCTGCTTCATGTCCTGCTGCCTTGTAGGATACGCTTTTTTAGGCAAAGGCTAGGAGAAGTTAACTCCGAATTAAAACACCCCCTGCCTTGGGGCTCTTGGTTGAGTAAAGGCTAGAGATGGTGTCTCGATAAAAATACTCATCTTGGGCAGATGTTACATGCATCCAGCTGCTGTCTTGTAGAAGGCCTCCTAGGCAAAGACTTAAGGGGTAAACAGATTCTATCTGTTGACCAGCCTCGCACCCCTTCCTCATCTATTAGGCTAGCGCAGATGTATTTTTAATACATTGTTTCCAGTTTAGGATGTTGAACGCTGGATCTTCTTGACTCAATGCGTGGGTATTGCTTGTGTCTCTATTTTTATGACTTAGCAACTCATTCTATTATCTCCTAATGAGGGTACAGCTCTAAAACTCAGTTTTATGGTTCTGAGGCCGGCTGGTAGTCAGGTTTCCCGAACTCTGTGGTAGCTCTCAGAGAGGCTGATTCCATCAACAGCCGAAAAATATCAGAGTACTAACAGTGCCATGTTGCGCATGGATGGTGTCCCTGTTTGTACTTTTGGTGTGCATTGCAGAGGCCACATTTGGAGCCCTTTGTTACGGCTTAGGGTTTATTAATAGTAATGACGCTATTGCTTAGTTGTTAAATAGTGTACTGAGTACTATCTATACTTGAGTCAAGTTCTTTATAAATTTAAAATGACTAAAGTACCTAAAACTAAAAAACACAAAAAACCATCGTCATCACCAAGTTCTCTAAACCTATCATTTACTAATATTCGTGGTCTTCGAAGTAACTTTTCTTCTGTTGAGTCTTATCTCTTGCAAAGTTCATGAGACCTACTTGCTCTTTGTGAGACTAATTTGAGTTTGGCTGTCCCATCTTGTGATCTTAGTGTTGATGGTTATCTTCCTTTTATTCGTAAAGACTCCAATAATCACATGCTTGGCCTTGCAATCTATATTCGTAAGAACTCACCCATTTGTCGTGAAACTAGATTTGAATCTACAGACTATTCATTTATGTGCTTTCGTTTAGCACAACTTCACTCTATCGCCTTTCTCTTTGTTCTATATCGCTCTCCTTCATCCCAAGATTGCACTATTCTTGATGTTATTTCTGATCAAATTGACCAAGCCCTCTCTCTTTATCCATCGGCCAATATCGTCGTTGTTGGTGACTTTAATGCCCATCACACCGATTGGCTTGGCTCTAGTGTCAGTGACTCTGCTGGCGTTAAGGCCCTCAACTTTTGCCTTTCTCAATCTCTAACTCAAATAGTCAACTTTCCAACTCGTTTTCCAGACAACCCTAATCATTTACCTTCTCTACTCTACTTATGTCTTGTTTTGGATCCTAGTCAGTGCTCAATTTCTCCACATTCACCCTTAGGTACTTCTGATCACGGTTTGATCAGACTACTAAAACTATTATCAAATTCTTCTACTTCATCAGAATCCCCCTATCATCGTACCACATACAACTACCTTAAAGCTGACTGGGACTCTTTCCGTGATTTTCTTCGTGATGGCTCTTGGGTAGAAATCTTTCGTCTTCCTGCTGACAAATGTGCTTCTTACATAACTTTGTGGATTCAGGCTGGCATGGAATCTTTTATTCCCTCTCGACGATTCCAGGTCAAGCCTCACTCTTCTCCTTGGTTTTCCTCACATTCGCTGCAGCAATTTCTAATCGAAACCGTTACTTCCATATCTATCAGCAAAACAATTCTCCAGAAAACAGACATCTGTTCACTATTGCCAGAAACCATTGTAAAAAGGTTTTGTCTGACGCCAAAGCTCGCTATTCCCAGGTCATTAAATCTCGTATCTCATCACAAAAATTAGGCTCTCGTGACTTCTGGAGAATCTTTAACAGTATCAATAATAAGGGCAAATCTGTTTTTCCTTCTCTCTGGTATGGTTCAGACTTTGTCACCTCACCTAAAGACGAAGCTGAATTGTTTGCTAAGAACTTTTCACCAATATCATCTCTTGATTCCACTAGTTGCGTTTTACCTGACATAGCCATCAAACAGGTTGATCCCTTGCTTGACATTCACATCACTTCAGCTTCTCTATCTAAAGTAATTTCCTGCTTAGACTCTTCAACAGCTTGTGGCCCTGACAACATTCCTGTTATAGTCTTGCAGAGGTGTTCTCCGGAGCTTTCATCCATACTTTCTAAACTATTCAACAAGTGCTTATCAGAGTCTTGTTTTCCATCATGCTGGAAAGCAGCATCTGTTATCCCTATTTTCAAAAATTCCGGAGAGCGATCTGATTCATCTAACTACCGTCCCATTAGTCTTCTTCCTGTCATAAGCAAGGTTTTTGTATCTTTAATCAACAAACACTTAATCTCTCATCTTGAATCAAATAACTTACTTTCTGATCATCAATATGGATTTCGGTCTTCTCGTTCTACAGCTGATGTGCTAACAGTAATAACCGATAGGTTTTACCGTGCATTAGATAGAGGTGGAGAGGTTAAGGCTATCGCAATTGACATTTCTAAAGCTTTTGATAAAGTTTGGCATGCTGGTCTTCTTCATAAGCTTTCTTCTTATGGTGTAGCTGGTAACGTCTTTAAGATTATTGAGTCCTTTCTTTCCAATCGTAGTATAAAAGTTGTCCTCGATGGACAACACTCTTCTTCACATCCTGTAACTTAAGAAGTTCCTCAAGGTTCAATCCTTGGCCCTATACTCTTTTTAATTTACATTAACGATCTTCCAGATATTCTCACATCTAAGGTGGCATTATTCGCTGACGACACTACCATTTACTCTTGTCATGATAAGAAGCCTACACTCTCTGATTGCTTGGAGGGGGAATCTGAGCTTGAAAAGGATCTCACTTCTGCTACAGCATGGGGCTCACAGTGGCTTGTGAACTTTAATTCAGATAAAACTCAATTTTATTCGGCTAATCGTTATCGTAATAATTTAGATCTTCCTATATTTATGAATGGTAATGTACTAGATGAGTCATCTACCATTCATCTTCTAGGATTAACTCTTACTTCTGATCTTTCTTTTAAACCGTATATCAAATCCATTGCAAAGTTAGCATCTGCTAAGGTTGCATCTCTTTATCGAGCTCGACACTTTCTTACTCCAGATTCTATTCTCTATCTCTATAAATCTTAAATCCGTCCCTGTATGGAATACTGTTGCCACATCTGGGGCGGATCTACTAATGATCCTCTTTCTCTTTTAGACAAGGTGCAAAAACGAATTGTAAACATAGTTGGACCTTCTCTGGCAGCCAATCTCCAACCTTTGTCACATCGTTGTAATGTTGCTTCTCTTTCTCTTTTCTACAAATACTATAATGGGCACTGCTCTAAAGAGCTAGCGTCCCTTGTGCCATCTACTAAAATTCATTCTCGTGTTACTCGCCATTCAATTAAGTCTCATCCTTTTTCTGTGACTGTTCCTAAGTGCTTCAAAAACTCTTATTCTTCTAGTTTTTTTCCTCGAACTTCAGTTCTTTGGAATTCGCTTCCTTCATCTTGCTTTCCTGATTCATATAATTTGCAATCTTTTAAGTTGTCAGTCAATCGTTATCTTGCTCTACAGATTTAGTCTTTTCTCTTCCAGTAACTTCCAACTCTTATAGCGGTTGCTTGCAGCCTTGTTGGAAGTGAAGATGTTAAAAAAAAAAAAAAAAAAAACTTTTGTGCAATGTTACCTTAATTTTGGAAAAATCTCTGTTTAGAGATTTAATTTTAACAAATTTTCTTAAAAATGATAAAGTTTAATAAGATAAAATGTTTTGTAAAATAAATGTTGCTGAGTGAGCAAGTTATAATTGGATTATTTTAACTCACAAAGTTAAGACAAAGTTATATGAGAAATGCATTTAAAATTTTTGTTACATGGATCATTCCATGTCAGTTCATTCAAAAAAAAATTGTTTTGACATAAAAATTAAATAAGGATAATTTTTGGTTTTGACAGTTTTTCTTAAACATCTCTTAATCTTATTAATTTTTTTTTAACAGTTTCTCTTGTGGTTATAACATTATAGGTCCTGGCTATAGGCCTCTATATATATTTTAAAAATTTTTTATTACAAATATTCAAATCATGACTTTTTGCAACTTTTTTATTGCTTTTTTGAGATTATGTGTTTGCTTAAGTTAATCTACTTGTAACTTTTTGTAAATGTACCATAAAAATAATGTCAGTATGTGAAATATTTGATATTTATTTTAGAATGCATTCATTTTATCAATTAGTAAAAAATGCAAGTAATTATCTTTAAGCCTTTTGAAGAAATATATTTTTTCAAAATCCAATAATTTTGTTTATTTAATAAATAGATATTTTGAAATAGTGTTT